AACCAGCAGGAAGAACTGGAATACTGAGTTATTAAACGCAGTCCTCAGAAACAGGCATTCTTTCCCAATGGGTTAGAAGATTTCAGATTATCCCTTATCTCTTTCTGATTAAAGCTTGAATAAGCGATTACAGAACAAGCATTAGAAAATAAGCAGAATAGAGGCAGGATTTTTGCTCGGCAATTCAACAAGTAGGGAATATAGCTCTTCAGATGCCATACTGAGAGCATTTCTCAATGCCACCACTAAGGATATGAAAGAAATAATTAAGACAATTGTGGGGGAGGGAAGAGGAGTTAAGGAATATCCTCTTATTATTCATATTAGAACAAACCATGAGGAAACTACAAGCCAAAGACTCCAAGGTTAGTTTACGGATCCAGAAAGAACTTAAGGTGGGCGCAAAACAGATGAACCGCTTGGGAAAAAAAAATTCCAATGCATTAAGGGAAGAAATAACAAGAAAAAAATAATTGAGGTTCCTAAGGAAGCAAATGCTGTCTGTGGTGCCACAGAAGTCAATTAGATAGTTTTCAGCCACAGTGATGGACCAATCTCCTGGGGTATAAGAAAAACATAAATAATCTCATGGGGCACAGGCAAGAGCAGAGATATTGTTTTTCTTCCTCCTCACTTTCTGGCACCTTTATCTATATTGAAAAAATAAAAAAATAAAGTATGTTATAAAGAAAAAGCAATTAAAATGTTCTTCAAGAGACAATAGCAGCACACAAAACATCTCCCAATGAGAAATATGATAAAGTCATTGAAACTTCTTATGCCATCACATTAGAAAAATAGCAAAAATGCAATAACAGAGCAGTGAAGAATGAGTTTCACCCAAAGAAATGCTGAACAGCAGGAGCTTTTCTGGATTATTTTAGTTGAGTGTACACATCCATGTCACACCATCACTTCTTACTTAAAAACAGCTGCAGAAGGCTCCTGCTGCGGCTGTTGCCGTTAGCTGAAGCTCTGATCTTCCTGTCTTGATACAAGTCATCAAGTCGCATTTCCTGCTGGAATTAAAGTGGCAGCCCCTAGGGACTACGCAGCTGCCCAATTTATATCAGAGAGAATCTGAAGCAAGCACCAGTTGTGGGTTTTTTTTAACTGCTTAATTTTTATTTATTTTTTATAAACCCCAAATTCTGTTAAGAGTTTTCTCCCTCCTCACTCCTCATTGTCCAGGCAGTTGCATTTTGAAACAATTAAAAGAAAACATAGACATTTCAAGGCCTGTGCACAAAAGCTAGAGGCAGGAAAAACATATGGGTAAACTCACTGGCATCAAATCGAACAGTGCCTATAGCATTAAACTGAGCAGAGAGATCACACAAAGAGCTTCAAGGATATTAGTTATTATGTGGTTAGTAGTTAGATGGCACGGATGGTATATGAATACTATGAAGGCTACTCATAAAGCAACAAAAGCTGCAGATCATGGCATAAAAGTATTTTGGGTCAGAGCAAAAAGAGGAGAGCAACAGTGAAACTGCCCTGGCCAAGTACTCAAACCACCCAGTGACAGGCAAGGACAGCTATGGGGTCATCGCTAAAGATGCTAGAAGCTAGAAATGCAGACTCCCGTCTTTTTTGTTCTGTACTTCTACAGTGCTTAACACAGCAAGAACCACGTCAATGAACAATGGTCCTAACAGCTATGATAGGTTATGATAAATAAGAATTTGGAGAAGATCGGGTGGCATCTCATTAAGTAGTCTCTGTAGTTAAATACAGATATCCATAACTCCAAGAAAGTCTTAAGTTACCAGATATTCAACACTCCTTAACCATCAAGCAGGGTAAAAAACAGTTTCTCTCATATGCAATTCTTCTTTTTAAAATGAAGTCTGTCATAAAGAATATCAGAACCAAGGCAAAGTTTCTCTACTTCAAAACCAAGAATCACAGAACATTACAAAACTATTAATCTCTTTTTTTTTTAAAAAAAAAGAATAATAAGCAAATCAAACTAGAGTACGTTAAATTGTGCATTAGAAGGGCTCTCAGCTAGGGTCCACTTCCAAAATTACTTGAGAGCACATTATAATTAGCAAAGGTATGTGACAGTTTTATACCCCTCTATGATGCATGATTAAAGCCAGGCAGCCCAGGTCAGCCACAAGTTCTGCACACCGTCAAAACAGATGTGACGAGAACTATAAGCTGCTCCCAGACAGACTGTGAGAAAACATACACAGATAACATTTTGGCTATCAAAGAGGTAAGACATGATACAAAACTAATTAAACCTCAAAACCTCTCAGAGAGGTAGGTAAACTATGTTTTACATGAGGTTATACGAAGCATCTTGTGCTTGAGCTGTGGTCCTCCAGCCCGAGAACAAGGACGAGAACAAGCTCCTACCTTCCCTTCTGAGGTGCAACAGGCAGCAAAGTTCATAGCCTAAAGATTAACAGCTCAGCCTCGGCACGAGGATGCGGCGCAGAAATGACTGGAGAAATCACTGCTGTAACGCCACTGTGATGGTCTTTGAAACTGCTGATATTTCCCACACAAGACAGATACCTACTATCTGTCTGCAACAGAAAAATACGGACTCCTGGCCCATTGTGAAAACCCAAATCTAAACACCACACAAATTCTGCCCCTTATATTTTCATGTCTTTGTCTGCTGAGCACTCAAAATATCAATTTGCAGCTCAACTCCTTAACATTAACTGGGCACTAACTAGGTACGGTAGGGAAGCTGTGCATCAGCCAAGGCCTATGGCTCTTGAGCTGGGGTTAGAGGGAACAAAGGTGTTGGAAATAAATGTGTAAGGAACAAGGAGAATTTTAGGCTTTAAAAACACACATTCGTTTTGGATAAGTATTCCATGCCTGGTTTGTAAGTGTGAAACAAACAGTGGGGCAAGTTTGTTTCTGAGAAGCGTACCCAAGCCATCATTTTTATTCTCCTTTATCTACAGATTTCCACATTTAGACTGCGCCTTAGCGCTTTGTCCTTCGTGACATCCCTCTGCATACAGCTCCCTTCCCTGTTTCCAGTTAGCCTCCCTCATTGCTTCCTCTGCAGTGCTTCAGAGCCCACCTACCTAACATCCCAGTGGCTCCAGGCAGTTTTCCTGATATATTCCTTCAGCCGTTTCCACTGCACCGCTCCTGTTGTGCTCTTTTCCCCATCTCCTCTGCAGAAATTATTTTTCTCATTATTCCCCTGCCCACGAGGGTCATTCCCTTCTCCAGGAGGTGCTGTAGAAAGGGCAGAGCTGGTTTCTCCTTCAGGCACCTCGTGCTTTCCCTAGCACAACCGTTGGGGTGAGGTGTAAGTTCTCACAACTTCACTACGTGACTCTGCACTCCTCCATTTCCTACGGCACCTCTCATACATGGACAGACACGCAGCAACAGCTATGGAGGTACCTACCTATGCTGCATATGCACCCTGACGAGGCTGCACAAAGCCGCGGTTGGGTTATCAGCTCCTCCTTCTGCCATGACATTACCTCCTTGCACCTTTTTGCATCTCGGAGTTAACCAAAACCGTATTTACGCAGCCACAAAGTGGGACCTACATGCAATGCTGAATAACTACACGCTGTTGAGCTGCCAGGTGCGTCACGTAGCTGTGCATGAGTGTATATGCATGTGTATACGTGTAACCTTCCCCAGGCAGACAGACAGCTTGCCAATGCCCAACGACTCACCCGTGATTCATCTCTGAATTTTGTTAGTTAAAACAGATGAGAAAGGGGAGGCAATTAAACAGCACAATTCCTAAGTGGACACAGATATGGAGAGTTTAGGAGAACCTCACAATGTTGAATGGTTAAGGTGGGCAAAACACTTAAGCCACTACTTTCTCATGCTTCTGGCAGGAAGAAATAAACTTGCTGCGCATTTATAAGCAAGATGATATTGCTCTGTGGCTATTTTGATGAAGGAGGTATACAGGATTGCAGTCCCTTTACAATCAAGCTTCTCATCACATCAGTTTCCTTCAGACACAGTAAATACAGTGCAGTTGCCTGGTTCAAGTCTCGATACTGACTTATGCTGAATGTCAAGCCAGCAGTGCAAGAGAACCTATCTAAGTGGCAGATATATATATAAAAATGCACTACATAAATTTTGTTGAACAAAATCAGTTAATTAGAAATAGAGCTTTCAATGCAAGCACCTATGGTTATGCCAATGCACCAGTCTAAGCCTCTGGACAAGAGGGAAATTTTAGGGAGCAGGATTGCTTAGCACCTTTTCTAAGCAACTGCAAATGTTGCCATTTGTCTTGTCTTTGCCTCCACAGTTATGTTTTATTATTAACACGATTCACAGAAGAACAAATAAAAAACACCCACAACAAGCCTTCGTTATTACTGGGACCACATTTCACTGGATGAGCGGTGATCCTCCAAAGAATGATGTTCTACACTTGTCTCAGTTTGGGAGGCTACTTTGGGGGACACTAACAAAGCGTCTCTGGACGTTTAAACATCAGGAGGAACATGTCAAATCACTTTCCAACATCCTGCAACCGAACCGATTCCAATGCTCCTCTTATTTCCAAGAAAGTAATTACAATTCTCCCTCTGTAAAGCAATGAGATCTTCCATGCAAGTGAGGTGGCTGCAGAGCAGCAAGTTTTATTCCATACAACACATATAAAATGTTAAAAACATATGTGATGATTTAAAGACTTGCTGTGATATCACTAATTTGAGCAAATAGAGTGCAGAGCGTAACAGCAGATGTGAATGTTCACTGTACGCTCCACAGCTACAGCAGAGCATCAAACAGATTTGCACGGGATCTGAACAAACAAGTTTGTTTAACAATGGGTCTGTAAAATTAAAAACCTGCAACTCAACCCAAGAAGAGCTGGAATTCCCTTCCACTCGGTGAAGCATCTGGCCTGATTGCTGGTGGCTGCCGATCACTGCCATGTCATCACTCTAAAGCCGTGAAACGTCCCTGCGACCGTGTTAATTAGCTCCCCTTGCAAAGTACTTAAGCCGTACAGCGAGGTTACTCACGTGATGTCTCTGCGCTGATAGCAACCTTGAAGAAGGCAGGCGATCAGGTCGCTGATAAACTCCACATCATCCCTGTGAAGAGCAGCTTCCAGTTCCTAATGAGCAGAAAGGAGAGAGAAAAAAAAATAAAAATCCAGTCATCAAACTAATTCCTTAAAATTTACTGCTGGCTGATCGGGACCAAAAAGACCCAAGCAGCCTCAAGTATGTGCACAGCAGCAGAGCATACTCTGGGTAAGCCGACTGTCCCCTTCATTAAAGATACTGCTACTACTACCTCTTTGTTGCAAGACTTTATGGGAAGACCTTGAAAGGCTTTTACCAAATGTCACTCTCCAGCCAGAAGACTAATGCTTTTGTCTGGAAACAGAAAAATAGAGTTCAGTGAGGTTGAGATACTACAGCCTAATAAGAAACCCATGATTTCTCCCATGTTCAGCTGATGGGCAGGAATCAACAGTTTCATTCTCCTGCTTTGCTTTCCACTCGCTAAGGCTGGTGAGTTCATTTAAAAGATGTGCTCAGAAAGCGTGGCCCTAAAAGCCACTTACACAGAGAAGCAGCAGTTTCAGATGGATAGCCAGAAATGGCTGAAAGCTAGCAAGTAAATGCCTAAAAGAAAAGCAGTCATTTTGATTATTTAACTTATTTCTCTTCTTTTTTTTTTTTCCCCTCTTTTTTCCCTCCAGTAAGAGAGAAAGAAAGGATGGAGGGATGTCAGACCTCATGACCCATAATTTCAACCCTTGATGGAGAGATGGAGAGTATCAGGGCTTATTTCAGCATGATAGATTTCACATAAAGGTGTGATGCAGGAACTGATCCACAGAAAGGATAAACTTCTGAAATGTAGTTATTATGCATTTCACACATGTTGTGAGAAATATCTGGTTTTCAGCTAGCAATTTCAAGCTTTGTTTTCAAAATATAACTAGGTTAACTATAGTTTTGTATATATGCCAGAAAATAATTCACAGTAAGAAAAATCCACTTCCTATAATACTTATCAGCAGTAGTATACAGCACTTAACAAGATTTAATATGGATAAACAACATAGGCATAAGAAGCTATTCTTTCTGGGTTTCAGAGTAAATAATGGATTGAATACAAACTCCTACTTGAATGTTACTCAACAGACTGTTACACAAATGGCTAAGCTAATGGCTACAGAATAAAGGTTAATGGCCAGAGAATAAAGGATAAACGTTTTGGCACTTACCCAATAAAGAAGAGAAAGTGCTTTTTTATTAGACCGCAGTAACTGCGGTAATAAAATTATTGATAACAGATTGCAGATTAAATGCCGCTTGTAGTTTTTTATTGGAAATGTATTAATGGCATATTTTCATTATCAACACCACTCTTATTTACCTCTTGTGCAACATCCAAAGCGCTTCACGAGCGGAAGCCTGACACCTGCCCTGTGAAGAATGTATTAAATGCATCTATTATATGTGGAAACTCAAGGCAAGGAAAGGGTGGTGGGCAGCCAAATCCTGACATAGCATCCCTGCCGCAGAGCTAGGAAAAGTCCAAAGAATCTTTGTTCTCGCTTCTAGATGACTACCCCGCTTAATGACAAGTTAATACAAAAACTGCAGTTGCTGCTTCCCATCCCTTGGAGAGAGTGATATTATTGTTGTATAAATAATAACCATGCTATATAAATAGCAATTGCCAAGTGAATTCACTTGGTAAGTGGTTAGTATTTTGAAGGTGTTGACTTATTTTATTTGTAAATTACTTTAGTTGACATCTGCCTCCCAACAAAATATACCTGAGAGGGGGAAAAAAAACCCCACAAAGTATGTGATGGGCTAAAACATCCCAGGTATGTTAAAACAGTAAACTCGCAGCTTGTGAATAATGACATCAGGACCCGGAATAAAGGGTGGGGGGAAAATAAGTCTCCGGTATGTTCAGCCTCTCCCTCATCCACGTACGCTTGTGCGCTAAAGCTGTCAGTCAGCAGCCTGCCTCTGCTGGGATGCGACAGCCTTTTGTATGAGGGAATATTTAAATTGCTTCCCATCAGCCTTTTCAGCCTGCTGTTTGACTAACACTCCTTAAGCAGTGGCCACAACCGCCTCAGATAGCCCCTATCTGTAGCCATTGTTTTCCAGGCCTGGGAGTGACCTTTACATTTTTGGAGCCGGAGGGTCACCCTGGGAGCTTGGGGGACATTCCTCAGGCACTGGGCAAGGTGCTGTCTCCTGGGCAGGATCACACCAGTCTTCCCCAAAAACATCTGGCTGGGGAGTCTCCCCACTTCTCTTGCTGCCTCCTCTCTCCCAGATAGGTGCTGCTCGTCCCCGCCATCTTGGCAGGTGCAGCACCAATTTGGGGACCCGACCTGGCCACAGGCGGATCTCACAGCCGCTGGCTAACAGGGGCACGGGGCACGCAGGCCAACGTGGAGTCCCAGCGCCACGCTGGGTTAAAGGGCTCTCAGCACAAGTCAGGATTAATCAGCACACACATAGCACAGGGATAACTAACGAAGGTTCATCATTAGCAGGTGTGAGGCTGTCGGCACCTCTGTAGAAAGGCGCTTGCACTGCGCTCCCCAATGCCATGGGTGCTGCCTGTAGCCCACCCTGGTCCCTACCCACAGTTGCACCCAGTGCCAGCAGCTTATGATAATGGCACAGTCCAAGCATTACTGTGATTATTTGCCTTGGAAAAAAAGATAACAACATTGTCCTGTTAAGTTTTTGTCTACTTTTTTTTCCTGTCGCTGCTTGTGATGGGGCAAGAGCAGCAAAAGGTGCTTTAATTTCCCAGGGCTGGGTCCTTTGGCCCCGTTTAACCGAATGTCACAATTTTCTACCCCGCTAGATGCTCCAGGTTTCTGTCCCAAAACACCTAAATCCGGGACTTTTCCCACATGTCCAGGGTACTATAGAATCATAGAATGGTTTAGGTTGGAAGAGACCTTAAAGATCATCTAGTTCCAAGCCCCCTGCTATGGGCAGGGACATTCCCCTGGAAAGATTTTATTTCAGCTCAGTTTAATTTTTCAAATTAAAAACAAGGAAAAAAAACCCCAAAACAATGCACTAGGAAATTTTCAAGTATTTTAAACAGCTGCAGCAATTGCTGCATTTAGGGAGGATTTTGTTCCCTTTAGGTGTATAGACTTTAGGGTCTCTAACCCTTCCAGCCCATGTCCCTCTCTATTCAGTGAACAGAGACAGATCTCCCCAGAGAGACGTTTAGCCCATCTTTGGGTACAGACTCCCCGTGGGTGCTTGTCTGTCCTACCAGGAGAGCCTGAGATGGGAAAACTAGGGACCAGGAGGAGGCGATGCAAATCTCAACATCTCAGCACAGTGAATGAGGAGTTAGAATCCCTACTGCTTTCCACCTAATGCTTCAGCCCATGTTTTGCAGGAGAAGGAATAAGCCTTGTTTTTCCAGCCCTCCCCTCCAACACGGGAGGGCCAGCACAGCAGCAGGATGCTCTAGTGGCGCATCTGCGCAGAGGTGGCCGAAGTGACGCCGGGGACTCCCAGGACAGAGAGGCCACCAAACCCATCCGTGGTCCTGAGGGCTAACCCTGCCCGGGATGCCCGTCCATCCCTCCCCACGCTCCTCCGGCCTGGCTAGGGCCAGCGGGCGAAAGAGCGGCTGGGCTTCCTCCCCGCCACCATCCCCCCCACGCCTCCAACCCTTTTGTTTTTCCCCTTTTCACTTTGAGCACTGAGCTGTGAGCACAGAAATCTGAACCTTGCCAAAAACGCTTTGGGGACGGCATAGAAAGGAAACAGAAGAGGCAGCAAATCAGCAGAGGAGGGGGGGGGGAAGATACATCTCCTCCTCCTCCTCTAGCTGGAGAGAGCAACAGACAGGAGAAAAGCAGGATTCTCCCCCTCTCCAGCTGGCGTCACACCTCATTAGGGAAAAGCCTGTTTAACGTCTTTCCCTCCCCCCAGCCCAGGACTTAAATCCCCCCTGAGTCAGGCGAGGGCTGGCGGGAAGAGGCGGCCGCCGGAGCAAGGGTGACCACCTCGCCCGGGAAGAGCGCTGGCCCGAAGCAGGGTTAGCTAGGGTGGAGAGGGCACCACCAACCCCCCCCTCCGCGCTGCCTGGGAAAACAGCTGGCAGGGGTGGGCTGGGAGGGAAGTCTGGGTCCCCTGCGAACGCTGCTCCAAGAGTGTATTAGACGCCGGCATCACCTGCGTTTTGTCGTAAGGGCTGCTTCGGTTTGGTCTTGGCAGCACCTAAGTGCTGTGGCCTCTCTACGTGTGGTGACCCAAGCCCCACACTGCCCAAAGTATATACTCCTTTTTTTGGTATCTGTTTTGAGAGAAAAGACAATTGACTTTCCCGCTAAAAGTAAATGAATGAGTCCACAACCGTGACAGCGGTGACACTACCCCCCCTGGGTCGGGCGAGGGCTGGCGGGAAGAGGCGGCCGCCGGAGCAAGGGTGACCACCTCGCCCGGGAAGAGCGCTGGCCCGAAGCAGGGTTAGCTAGGGTGGCCGAGAGGGCACCAACCCCCCCCTCCTCGCTGCCTGGGAAAACAGCTGGCAGGGGTGGGCTGGGAGGGAAGTCTGGGTCCCCTGCGAACGCTGCTCCAAGAGTGTATTAGACGCCGGCATCACCTGCGTTTTGTCGTAAGGGCTGCTTCGGTTTGGTCTTGGCAGCACCTAAGTGCTGTGGCCTCTCTATGTGTGGTGACCCAAGCCCCACACTGCCCAAAGTATATACTCCTTTTTTTGGTATCTGTTTTGAGAGAAAAGACAATCGACTTTCCCGCTAAAAGTAAATGAATGAGTCCACAACCGTGACAGCGGTGACACTGCTGTCACCAACACCAGCTCAGAAGTAGTGACTGGGCTGCTGCACACATCAGCTTCCTGAACTATAGAAAGCAGCCAGTCACTCCAGCTCCTTGCAAGCTGTCCTCTTGGAGGGTGGCATCACAAAGTTTGGGGTCCTCGTTTCAGAAGATGGGGTCCTCCAAAACCTCAGGGAAGCCCAGGGCATGAAAGAGCCTGATGTGAGTGGGCTGGGTGCTGGGGTACAGGACTACAGGTTAAAGGCTTCCTCTGTGCTGGAGCTGAATCATCTATAACCGAATC